TCTTAAGACAAATTAGTAGGAAACTATAGGCCAAGAAAATTGATTTTAATTTAAAACACCAACTTTTTCTTTTTTCTTACTCTGGGTTTCTCCATTCGGTTTGATACCATTGATTATCCCTTTCCTTAACATTGTGTTGTAATTTCTGTTCTGACTCTGACTCTCTTTGATCTGCTTTGTGGCGTCTATTGTTTCCCCTGCACTTTGATCAGAGGCATCAATCAGAGCTCAGCCTTAGGCTCTGTTTTTGGTTCCTTTACACTTACCCTTTCCAGGTGCTTATCCTCTCATATGGTTTCCATTATTGCCTCTGGAATCTGCATCTTCAGGACTGATCTACATTTCTGGTCCTTCACCTTCAGTAAACCTTCATTGATTAGTCCCATCTGCCCAGTGAATTCTTACACTATGGGTGCTGTCCAATTTATCTTGGGTTGAATATAGAGCACCACTAGTTGAATGTCCAGTAATGATCTAAAATACACTAGGACCTCAGTTGGCTTTTTTTTTTTTTTTTTTTTTGCCTGGAAACAAACATTTTCCAGCACTGGAGTGATTTTTAACTTAATTTTTCAGCACTGCAATTTTAATTCCACCATCCTATCAAACTCATTCCTATTCATTTTGCTGAGTTACTCAATCCGGTGGTCTTGTTTCTCAGTCATCATTTTGCTTAAGAGTAGCATTAGCTACCAACAATCTAACCTTCCTTCTTGATACTCTTTTTCCCCATTTGGCCTTCAGAACGTGTGTCAGGCTCATTTGGTTTTCTTCCTCTCACTCCTTCTTCCATAGTTCTCATTGTCTTAAGGCTTTAAGTACCACATATATTTTTTTTGATTTTTTTAACTTTTATTTAATGAATATAGATTTCCAAAGTACAGCTCATGGATTACATTGGCTCCCCCCCCATGACTTCCCTCCCACCCGCAACCCTCCCCTTTCCCGCTCGCTCTCCCCTTCCATTCATATCAAGATTCATTTTCAATTTTCTATTTATACAGAAGATCAGTTTAGTATACATTAAGTAAAGATTTCAAAAGTTTGCACTCACATAGAAACACAAAGTGAAAAATACTGTTTGAGTACTCGTTATAGCATTAAATCTCAATGTACAGCACACTAAGGACAGAGATCCTACATGAGGAGTAAGTGCACAGTGACTCCTGTTGTTGACTTTACAAATTGACACTCCTGTTTATGGCATCAGTAATCTCCCTATGCTCCAGTCATGAGTTTCCAAGGCTATGGAAGCCTTTTGAGTTCACCGACTCTTATCTTATTTAGACAAGGTCATAGTCAAAGTGGAAGTTCTCTCCTCCCTTCAGAGAAAGTACCTCCTTCTTTGAAGACCTGTTCTTTCCACTGGGATCTCACTCGTGGAGATCTTTCATTTAGGTTTGTTGTTGTTGTTGGTTTTTTTTTTTTTTTTTTTGCCAGCCAGAGTGTCTTGGCTTTCCATGCATGAAATACTCTCATGGGCTTTTAAACTGGATCTGCATGCCTTAAGGGCTGATTCTGAGGCCAGAGTGCTGTTTAGGACATCTGCCATTCTATGAGTCTGCTGTGTATCTTGCTTCCCATGTTGGATCTCTCTCCCCTTTATTTATTCTATCTGTTAGTATTAGCAGGCACTAGACTTGTTTATGTGATCCCTTTGACTCTTAGTCCTTTCATTATGATCAGTTGTGTACAGAAATTGATCACTTGGACTAGTGAGATGGCATTGGTACATGCCACCTTGATGGGATTGAATTGGAATCCCCTGGTAAATACCACATATATTGATGTTTCCCAAAGTTTGTCTCTACCTTAGTTTTTCCTGAAGTCTGGACTCATAAAGACATCTTCATTTGGGCATCTAATAGATGCAATAATTTAACATCTCCAAAGCAGAGCTGCTGGTATCTATCACTAGCAAAGCCATTTTTCCCCCAATTTTCAGTGTCTCCATCTTGCAGGATAAACCCTGGGATCATCTGTGACTGCTCTTTAATATTCCATACTCAGTCACTAGATAAACCCATCATCTCTACTTTCAAAATTCATCTAGAATCCAATAACATCACTTTGTCACTGCTGCTAGTTTAGACCACCATCACCTTTTCCCTGGATTGGTACAGTAGCCTCCTAGCTTCCACCACCATTCCCCGACTTCATAGTCAGATGCTCCTTACCAGTGTAAATAAGGTTGTGTCTCTTCTATGTGGCATGTGGCCACTTCTCATCTCCTAGTTTTCTTTTCCTCATTCCCTCGACTCTATAGCTGGACAGGCCTCATCTTAGCGACGTGAACATTATGGCACTCTCCTGCATTAGGGCATTTGACTTGGTGTTCCCTCTGTCATAAGATGTATTGTCTTGGATACTTTCATGGCTTTCTGCCTCATTTACTTTAGGTCCTTACACACCTGTCATCTTCTCAAGTAAGCCTTTCTTGGCCACCCTATCTAAAACCCACCTCCCTGACACTTCAGAACCCTTTCCTCTTTATTTTTTCTTACATGGATCTCTTAACATGCCAGATAGTCTGCATACTTACCATATTGTCTGTCTTCCCCCTAAATGTGTGTTTTATTCGTTGTCGTAGTACCTTGTTATATAAAAGGCATCCCATTATAATTGTTGAATTAACAGATTTTTATTGCATGTCCTCTTAATTTTTTCTCCTTGATTTCTTCCCTCTTATTACAGCGTCTCCTCCCACCCAATTATTACCACTTTCTAGCCACACCTTGTTACCTCATTCTTATTAAACACCAACCTACCAAAATTTTCAATTTCTATTTAAATATATTTTGTTATGATAATAGGAATTTAGAATGGGCTTAAACTCCTGTTATCTCTTATGTTGGTTCTGATTTCCTTACTGCTTTGCATGGTACTCAGTTCATCTCATTGCTCCCATGTTTCTGATTATAAGTATCTTCTAAAAGCATAGTAATCTGCATGTTGTCACGTAAACAGGCCTCCTGTCTCTAGGCAGGAGTGGCTTCCCTGTCCTCAACAATATACCATTTGTCTCACTTCTGCCAAAATCTGAAAACTTACCAAGAAGTCATCTGCAATATCAATAATGTTTACTGGATCAATTGTTTAAAATTTTATTTAAGTTATCCAAGTTTCATGTATTTTATTATATACAGATTTAGGAATATAGTGATACTTCCCATCCTACCTTTTGTCCTACCCACGGTCCAACCTTTCTTCCTCCTCCCTCTCCCATTCCCACTCTTAATTTTTACAAAAGATTACTTTCAGTTTACTTAATGATTATAAAGTTAACCCTACACTAAGTAAAAGTGTTCAACAAATAGTATGAAGAAAAAAACAACAACACTGTTCTTCAACAGAAGAGACGGGGGCTGTAAACAATTATTGCATCTCAAAATGTCCATTTCACTCCAATACATTACATTTTAGGTACTCTGTTGTTACCTTGGATCAGGGAAAACATATGCTATCTGTTTTTTTCTTTTGGGACTGGCTTATTATACTAAGTATAATGGTTTCCTGTTGCATCCATTTGGCAAATGAATGGATTTCATTTTCTTTTCTTTTTTTTCTTTCTTTCTTTCTTTTTTTTTTTTAACAGCTGAATAGTACTTCGTCCTGTATAAATGCCATAATTTCTTTTTCCAGTCAACAGTTGGTGGACATCTGGGTTGATTCTATATCTGACCTATTGTGAATTGTGCTGTAATGAACATGGGAGTACAGATAACACTTTCATATGCTGATTTCTTTTGGTTTGGGTAAATTTCCAGGAGTGGGATGACTGATTTATATGGCAGGCCTATATTCAGATTTCTGAGGTTTCTCCATACTCTCTTCTTCTTCTTTTTTTTTTTTTTTTTTTTTTTTTTTTTTTGACAGGCAGAGTGGATAGTGAGAGAGAGAGACAGAAAGGTCTTCCTTTTGCCGTTGGTTCACCCTCCAATGGCCGCCACGTCTGGCGTGCTGCTGCCAGCGTACCACGCTGATGTGAAGGCAGGAGCCAGGTACTTATCCTGGTCTCCCATGGGGTGCAGGGCCCAAGCACTTGGGCCATCCTCCACTGCCTTCCCGGGCCACAGCAGAGAGCTGGCCTGGAAGAGGGGCAACCGGGACAGAATCTTGCGCCCCGACTGGGAATAGAACCCGGTGTGCCTGTGCTGCTAGGTGGAGGATTAGCCTATTGAGCCGCGGCGCCATCCCCATACTCTCTTCCACAGTGGCTGTACCAATCTACATTCCCACCAACAGTGGATTAGGGTACCCTTTTCCCTACATCCTCACCAGCATGTGTTGTTTTTTGATTTCTGTATGAAAGCCATTCTAACTGGAGTGAGGTGAAACCTCATTGTGGTTTTGTTTTGCATTTCCCTGATGGCTAGTGATCCTGAGGATTTTGTCAATTATCTGTTGGCCATTTGAATTCCCTTTCTTGAAAAATGCCTGTGCAGGTCCTTTGCTCATTTCTTAACTGGATTGTTTGTTTTGTTGTTGAATTTCTGGAGCTTTTATAGCTCTGGATGTTAACCCTTTATCAGTTGTGTAGTTTGCAAATACTTTCTCCCATTCTGTCCGTTGCATCTTTACTTTGCTAAGTGTTTCTTTTGCAGCACAGAAGCTCCTCAGCTTGATGTAATCCCATTTGTCTATTTTGGCTTTGATTGCCTGTGCTTCTGGGGTCTTTTGCAAGAAATCTTTGCCTATGCCAATGTCTTGCAGAGTTTTTCTAATGTTCTCTAGTAATTTGATGGTACTGGATCAATTTTTGTTTAATTTTGTCTTCTATATCTACTTTTCATAGATTGATATATACTATTGTCTATAAATTTATGGACTCACATTTTATCTTTTACAAATATGTTGATGAAATTAAAACTGTATTAGGGTTAATAAGGGTATGGAACATTATATAGTTGGTGTCATTTGAAATGAAACAAATATTGTAGTTTTATTGAACTTTTGTTCTCATTTTTTTTTTTCTTATTTGTTTTTGTTTCTTGTTTTAGGTATCATTGCCCAATGCCTAAAATTTTCTATGTTCAGCTGACTGTAGGAAATAATGAATTTTTTGGTGAAGGAAAGACTCGACAAGCTGCTAGACACAATGCTGCAATGAAAGCCCTCCAAGCACTGCAGAACGAACCTATTCCAGAAAAATCACCTCAGGTGTGGTACTGCTGCATGAGGCAGTCTCTGTTACATACTTCCCCAGTAAGATTATTGGGAAGACAGATAAATGCACTTAATAAATAAAAGAGGTATTCTGTTCTGCTAGGGAAGAATACTAGAGTGATGATCTGCCGAGAATTTCTTCTCAGACTTCCTGTCTCCCATACTAGGTTCACGTGTTACTGCCAGGATGACTTTATGTTTGAGAACTTTGGTTCACCTCTGGAGTTCACTTCCCAGAAACTCATTTGGGATATGTATAAGAATCAGAAATAACATTCGTTTGTGTTGCATTAAAATGTTTTTTTTGAAAGGCTGAGACCTAGAGAGTGGGAGAGAGAGACAGACAAACAAACAAACAGAGATCTTCTATCCTCTGGTTCATTCTCCAAATGCCTACAACAGACAGGACTCAGCCAGGCTGAAGCTAGCAGCCAGAAACTCAATTTGAGTCTCCTAGGTGGGTGGCAGGGGCCCAACCATCATCTCCTGCCCCCAGGGTATACATTCCAGGATGCTGGAATTGGGAGCAGAGCCAGAACTTGAAACAGGTCACCACATCAAATGTGTTTGCCCCTGTGGGTTGCATTTAATACCACCTTTTTTGAGCATAGATAACATTCTGTTAATCTATAATTAAGGGATTTAAAGAGATGAATCCACTTTGTTTTACACAGGAGGATATTGCAGATCCTCTTGAGTAATCTTACCCATTCTCATGGCTTCAGCTGCTTTCTACATAGCCTTCAAAATAGCATCTCCAGTTCAGGCAGGTCTGATGGTATAGTCACCTTCTTATGCACTTAGTTATTTCAAACTCTACAATTCAACGTTTGTAATTCTCCTTTCTCCAAACCCATTGGTCTTCCTGCTTTGAGATTTATTTTAATGGAAAACTTTGGTGGTTTTTTTCTGCTTTATATATTTTCATTTTAACTCTTTGTATGTTTCCCCACTATATAATAAGCTTCTTGACAGCAGGAATACTGTCCCTTTATCTCTAATACTTAGACTATGTTTAGTATATGTGAGGTCCTCTAGAGATATGTGTTACAAAATGAATAAATGAGTTAATACCAGTGTGGACACAGAGCTCCAACATCCTGGTTTGGGTCCTGTGCTCTTTCTAGAACTTAATTTTCATCAATCAGGATATAATATGAGTGGGGAAATTGTGTGTGGGCAGGAGGGTGGGGATCTCTAAAATAGAACAGGGTCTACGGATGTAAGATAAACTCAGAGTAGTATGTGACTGAATAAAAGATTCCCAAAAGAGCATTAAATGCTTCTCCTTCAAGGAAAAAAAACTAAAAACCAAGTAACAGACTTTTTGTCAGCAAAGCTCTAGATGTACTGTGGTTCCACAGGAATGCATTAGATACAGTCTATGCTTTGCTGTTTCTTACTGTATTTTAGATAGACCGTCTTGATTATGGATGTGAAGTAATAATCTTGATTATGTGAGGTTTGTTGGAGAATCAAGATTCAGTGTTACCCTATTTTTTTTTATGATGTAGAATGGCGAATCTGGAAAAGAAGTGGATGATGACAAAGACGCAAATAAATCTGAGATCAGCTTAGTGTTTGAAATTGCTCTGAAGCGAAATATGCCCGTCAGTTTTGAGGTACGTGCTCACTAGAGACCTTCCAGTTTTACTCCCTGCTCTGGTTATTTTCAGTAAGCCAGCAACATTAACGAGTACGCTAGAGCTCTGCAAGAGTTCATGTGCTTCTTTATATACAATCCCACTGTCGTGAAATTGTACAGGTGCTAGGGAAAGTAGAAGTGATGGTAACATCATGGATTTCTGCTGATCTCTTTTGTCTTTTCTGTATTAAGATATTTGTATACATGATATTTCAGTTTTTATCCTGAAAGTTATTTTCTGGTATAAGATAATTTGTAGTACCCTGTAGGGTTTGATGTTTAAAAGGGGATCAAATTAAAAATATTCAGATTAATATTTAGTAACATACATGTTAATATCCAATTTCTTTTAGTTGGCTGAAGGCTAAAATATACTTAACTTTAATCTTAACTAATGAGTCACTGAGAGATAATGAAGCACCTCCCTATAACTGGAAAAATATGAGACATATGTTTATAAAATTGTATGAAACTTTATAGGCAACTTTTAAATTAACTAATTAAGTAAAGATTTACTTGAGAGAGAGAGGTACGTTATCCATTGATTTACTCCCCAAATGGCCTCAGTGACTAGGCTGAAGCCAGGGTCTAGGAGCTTTTTCCAGGTCTTTGACGTTAGTGCAAGGGCCCAGGTCCTTGGGCTATCTTCTGCTGCTTTTCTAGGCTCATTAGCAGGGAGCTGGATCAGAAGTGGAGCAGTCAACACTTGAGTTGGCGCCATATGGAGTCCTGGCATCACAGATGGTGGCTTTGCCCACTATTTCACAACTCTGACCCTGAATGTCTCCCTTGTTAAGAAGTCACTAATTTCATGACTCTTATCTAGAAAGTAGACAGAAACCAGCTAAGTTTTTATCCTTCAGGAAGCTTCTTCTTCAAATTGTGTGACACTTACCTACTAGAAAGTTCCCACATCTGACTCATTGGCAGGATCTTCTGACCTGGAATGAGAGACTGCATGCTTTCCTTCTTGGATAGGGGTCTGACAAGTTACTAAATTCTAACCCGTCACAGACTGAAAGGAGCAAAATGAGGAAGGCAGTAAGAGTTGTTCTTTAAAGCCTGTTGGTCCCAGAAAGAAATGATGGGGAAAAGGTAGAAAACCTATTAAAAGATGCTGTATAAACCCAAAAATTGTGGAAAATGGCTACAATGAATAGGTACAGACAGTATGGCAAGTTATAGAAGTCCTAGGGGACTTTAATGGGCCTTAGTACAGAATATTTAATATACACGATATGATCTAATGTACACAGTAAAAAAAGGTTAAGGATAGAGCATTCTCTATTGTTGGTAAAATATAGATGTTTTTCTAATTAAGGAGGATGTCCGTCATAGTAGTTAAAATAAACAGCTTTGGTGTTTAAAGCAGGAAACCTAAATCACTCAGGAAGAATGCTTATGATGAATTCTTTATTCTTAATAATGTTATCAAGAAACTGTGCTGTTTCATTTCTTTTCCTGATTAGTACTCAACATTAGAAGACAGGATTTCAATATACTGTTAAGGTGAAATAACTCTGTTTTACAGATCAGACTTCTAAAGGAGGCTAAAGTCTTTGTAGTCAGGTTTTGGAAGGCATCTTTTCTCCAAACGCTGGCGTAGTTTAAAAGAATGCAGTAAGCAGTGTTTAAGAGCATTCAAAGCTAATGGATTCATAATTCAGTACTCCAGAAAGCTAGTTATTTTTATGTTGTCTCAGCCTCCTTTTTAAGACTGTGTCACAAGTGTAAAGATCTCTTTCAGTAAAACAGCCTCTGAGGTCTGTATCAAAATTTATTTTTATCTGTCAGCTGCCTTTGTGAGACTTTCATAGACAGTTTTATGAGTTGTAACTACAGAGTCCTTGTCCCCGAGTAAGTTTTACTGTTACATAGGAGAAAATTGTATATGTACACAATGATATATAAATTGTCATTCAAGATGGCTTATGTAGTATGGTAGCTAATACCGTATTTTTATTCTTAATTTTATATTCTATAAAACATAAGGAAACCATAACTAGAATTGTCTATTTTAAAATCATAAAAGCAATTTTGATTATGAATTGAATGTGTTTGGTTAGATTTCTTTTAACTTCAATTCATTAAGCATCAGAAGTGTCAGAAATGAGTCGTCCAGATAGAGTACCTTCATACTAGCTTTTTAAAAGAGATATTGTAATTTTGGCATAATTCTTAATATCATTTTATGTGGATGTGAGTATCAAAAATAGAGTATGAGAACACATCTTAGTGCTTATGTGTTATTTAATATTTCACTTGCATTTAATAGGTTATTAAAGAAAGTGGGCCACCACATATGAAAAGCTTTGTTACACGAGTGTCGGTGGGAGAGTTCTCTGCAGAAGGAGAGGGAAATAGCAAAAAACTCTCCAAGAAGCGTGCTGCAACCACTGTCCTACAGGAGCTTAAAAAACTTCCACCTCTTCCTGTAGTGGAAAAGCCAAAATTATTTTTTAAAAAACGCCCTAAAACAATAGTGAAGGTAAGTACTTGTAAAAGTTGGTGAGTTTACCGTGAAGTACTATCATGCACCTCATAATGACATTTTTGTCAGTGACTGACCACATATATGATGGTGGTCCTATAAGATTATAATGGAGCAGAAAAATGCCCGTTGGCTCATATTTTTATTGTACTTTTTGTGTGTATTTTTACTTCTATCTTTTTTTTTTTTTTTTTTTGACAGGCAGAGTGGACAGTGAGAGAGAAAGAGACAGAGAGAAAGGTCTTCCTTTGCCGTTGGTTCACCCTCCAGTGGCCGCTGCGGCCGGCGCACCGCGCTGATCCGATGGCAGGAGCCAGGTACTTATCCTGGTCTCCCATGGGGTGCAGGGCCCAAGGACTTGGGCCATCCTCCACTGCACTCCCGGGCCACAGCAGAGAGCTGGCCTGGAAGAGGGGCAACCGGGACAGAATCCGGCGCCCCAACCGGGACTAGAACCTGGTGTGCCAGCGCTGCAAGGCGGAGGATTAGCCTAGTGAGCCATGGCGCCGGCATTTACTTCTATCTTTTGCTTACTGTTAAACAGTTGCCTAAAGTGTCCAGGACAGTGATATGTTGTACCTAGGTCCATGTGGTAGCTTCAATCCTAGGTGTGCAACCAGCTGTATTATCTGGGTTTGTGGAAATACACTGTATGCACCATAAGGAGAATCGCCTGGTGATATTTCTTAGGACATACCTTGGTTGATTAGTGATACATGACTGTGTTATCACAGCTGTGGATAAAAAAGTGTTCCTTAAGGCAAGTCCTTGCACCTGTAAATTATATACAATCCTGGAATCAGGGCAGGACATGTGACTATAAGTTAATGACAATTCTGATTTGTTTGATTGATTGATTGAGTGATTTATTTTTTCACAGTGTCCAAGATTTAAATCTGAGCTCAGGTCCAATTAGCTTTAAATAGCCCTGTAATTCACTGTTTGTTTGTTTGTTTCCTCCCTCCCTCCCCTCTCTCTCCCTCCCTCTCCCTCTCTTTATTTATTTATTTGTTTATTTACTTACTTACTTGGAAGTCAGAGTTTCACAGAGAGAGGAGAGGCAGAGAGAGAGAGGTCTTACAGTCTACGGCCATACCACCCTAAACACGCCCAATCTCATCTGATTTTGGAAGCTAAGCAGGGTCGGGCCTGGTTAGTACTTGGACGGGAGAGAGGTCTTCCATCCTCTGATTTGCTCCCCAGTTGGCCATAACTGCCAGAGCTGCACCAATCTGAAGCCAGGAGCTTCTTCCAGGTCTCCCATGTGGGTGCAGGGGCCCAAGGACTTGGGCCATCTTCTATTGCTTTCCCAGGCCATAGCAGAGAGCTGGATTGGAAGTGGAGCAGCCAGATCTCAAACTTCTGCCCATATGGGATGCTGGCATTTCAGGCTAGAGTGTTAACCTGCTGTGCAACAGTGCTAGCCCCTGTTTTGTTTTTTTTAAATATCTTTGTACCTGTATGTTCATCCAAATGATTATCTCAGAAACTTACAGTACTTTTTAAAATTTAAAAAGTGATTTTCTGTTGGTGTTACTTGTAATATAATCCTCATCATGACCTGTAAGGTGGATAATGTTATCTCCTGTTTTAAAAATTTTTGCAAAACAGGTTGAGAAAATTTGCTTACTTTTATTCAGCTGTAGTGGAACAAACTGAACTCTGGTCTCTCATCCCATGTCCTTTCTGCTGAGACCACTGCTTTACAGTAACTTCTCACCAGATCATGAAATGGTAGCAAGCTGCAGAGCAGTCACTGAGTAATAGTAATAGCAGTGACAGCAGCAGCAGCACTGTCTGTGCCAAGCAGGCCCCATGCTTTGCGTGCTTTATTACAGTTAATCCTCATAACATCCATTATGAGGTAGATGGTTATTATTTTATTTCCATTCATTCATGCGTATATACCTTGCCAAAGAAGAATACAGAGCACACAGCTTTTCAGGATGTTGTGTCTGTTTGTTTTATTGGATCAGATTTTATTTACATTAAAAGGAAAAAAAAAGACAAAAGTCAGAGGAATGAGCTGAGTTAGCGTGTAGAGCAGCACAGTGTCCGTGAGTACTCGATCTGCATGGAGCTAGAGCTCTTTCTAGAGAAAGCTTTAAGTTGTCAGTGTTTCAGTTATCTGCCAGCCTTACTTACTCAACAGATTTCTGATCAGGCTCTGCAAATCAAGGATTAACGATAAGAAATGTATTTATTTATTTATTTATTTATTTATTTATTTATTTGACAGGCAGAGTGGACAGTGAGAGAGACAGACAGAGAGAAAGGTCTTCCTTTGCCGTTGGTTCACCCTCCAATGGCCGCCGCGGCCGGCGTGCTGCAGCCGGCGCACCACACTGATCCAATGGCAGGAGCCAGGTGCTTCTCCTGGTCTCCGATGGGGTGCAGGGCCCAAGCACCTGGGCCATCTTCCACTGCACTCCCTGGCCACAGCAGAGAGCTGGCCTGGAAGAGGGGCAACCGGGACAGAATCCGGCGCCCAACCGGGACTAGAACCCAGTGTGCCGGCGCCGCTAGGTGGAGGATTAGCCTAGTGAGCCGCGGCGCCAGCCAGAAATGTGTTTCATCTTTGCTGACTTTTCTTTCATTTAGATCGTGCAGTGATCTGGTGGAGGTTTTCTTTATTTAAAAACACATACATACATAGATATACAAATACATAAGAAACTTGTTTTTTTTTATATAAAGGAATACTGATTTGACTTCATTTTGAAGAAAATGTGTGTTTAATGTGCCCTGATACAGCATTCTACATCATATGTAAGAACTACAGACACAGGAAAGGTAGACTGAAAGTAAATGCCAAGTAGATCCACTCACCACACACGCATCGCCGTGATGCCAGAGGCCTGGCTTTCATTCATGAGCTCTAACCACACAGCAGGGAGTAGGACTGAGCATGAAGAGCATGGCCTTTGGAGTCCAATTTGATTGTGAACCTGATGAGGTTACTTAGCTTTCCTAATCCTTCATTTCTTCACTTATAAAGTGAGAATAATCATTGTTCTTGCTTCATAAGATTGTTTTAAGTCTGAGTTGAAAAATGCTCAGAATACATTAGTAATTATTACTGATTATTAGTAGTAATAATGGAAATAGTAAGTACTCACTAAATATTAAGTAGTGATATTTTCTATCTAATTCTGTCACATTTCATATGTAGATGAATGTGTCCATGCTTTATTTACTTACATTTTTTAATGTATAAAATCTGTAGCTAACTATAAATCTATAACTTCCCCCTGCTCTTTTAAGCTAAGTCTAATCTTAATGAATTAAAAATAATAAGTTATCATGCTGGAGACAATCTGCGTTTCTGTAGTGGGATGAAAATCTGACTTTTGTTTTAAGTATAGCTGTTAGGAGCACATTATTGTTTAAGTAGTATTTCCTAGAAGTGGGGAACAAGAGACACATTTTGAATTCCGGGTTATTGGCTACTATTTACAGTCTATAAGCATCTTGTTCCACAACTTCCTTCCCATCCAGCACTCTGATTTCAGCTTAAAATTGGCCTCTTGAGGGAAACTACCCGTGCTCCTCCCCCACTTTCCTTGCATTTTGTCCTCACGTGCATCACACTTGGCATTATGTAAAATCAGCCTATTGATGTCCTCTGAAATGTGATTCTTTGTGGAAAGCAACATGCATATAATGAAATGGAATGTAGATAAATTTTAAGTGTGATGATCATGCTTATAATGTGTCAATAAATGGATCAGCTTGGAACAGTATCTTGATTTTGAGCATTTTCCTCACTTCCTTGTATGACTTACACATTTGTGGCCTTCAGTTCCTTATATTCAGTAGAAAAAGAGAAACTATTCGATGATTTGCCTTGGTTTTATTTAAAATAATAATAGTTTGTCTCATGTGACCCTCTTGATCACTCTGTGATGGACCTGTTATCCTCATCTTACAGATGAGGCCCTCTCTATTTAAGGTTATATATTTTTAAAAGATTTATTTGTTTTAAGGCAGAGTTTTAGATAGGCAGAGGCAGGGAGAAAGAGGTCTTCCATCTGCAGGTTCACTCCCTAGATGGCCACAATGACTGGAGCTGCACTGATCTGAGCCAGGAGCCAAGAACTTCCTCCAGGTCTCCCACACGGGTGCAGGGGCCCAAGAACTTAAGTTATCTTCTACTGCTTTCCCAGGCCATAGCAGAGAACTGGATTGGAAGTGGAGCAGCCGGGACTTGAGCCGGCACCCATATGGGATGCTGCACTGCAGGTGGCAACTTTACCCATTACGCCACAGCACTGGCCCCTTAAAGATATATTTTGGATCCAGTCAAGCCTGACTATGGTTCCCAGTTGAAACTGGTTATTCGTGTACCTCTTTCAGAGTTTGAGATTTACTCTGTAGTGTTACCCTGTAAACTTGTACGACTGCCCTGATAGTATCTTTGGGTTTATATCCTTTATTGTCTTTTTATTTTAAATGTAGTTTTCTTCCATAAGATAAGACTTCAAAGAAGTCTTTCAGTGTTATAGATAAGATTTCTTTTTTTTTTTGACAGGCAGAGTGGACAGTGAGAGAGAGACAGAGAGAAAGGTCTTCCTTTGCCGTTGGTTCACCCTCCAATGGCCGCCGCTGCAGCCGGCGCACCGCGCTGATCCGATGGCAGGAGCCAGGAGCCAGGTGCTTTTCCTGGTCTCCCATGGGGTGCAGGGCCTAAGCACCTGGGCCATCCTCCACTGCACTCCCTGGCCATAGCAGAGAGCTGGCCTGGAAGAGGGGCAACCGGGACAGAATCCGGCGCCCCAACCGGGACTAGAACCCGGTGTGCCGGCGCTGCAAGGTGGAGGATTAGCCTATTGAGCCACGGCGCTGGCTCTAGATAAGATTTCTTGTTCTCAACTATTACCAGACAATACTTACCAGTTTGTAGTTTGGTAATCTAAGACTTGAAGTCCAAGGAATAACTTAATTGTCAAGGTAGCAAGTAGTTAAAATGATGGAATTCTGAGAACAATAAAAATGACTTGGTTTCTTTATTTGATTGGATTTATGCATCTGATTCTTTGTCATTGGAATCCATGCCAACAACAATTTCTCTGGAAATTACAGACATTCTTATGAGAGAGTCAAATTAAACAGGAATGATGACAACATACCATTGGAAATACATATTTATTTGAACATCTTCATGTGCAAGGCGTACTCCTTCTGGAGCCAGACTGAAAGCTTGTCTTTATCTTTTCACTGGGCTCTTAGACTTACTAATTATCATTGCTATTTATTTCTCATTGTTCCTTCTTCACTCTCTGGATGACTTATTTTTATTTTGGGGCATATAAATTGAAGTAGAAACCAGTATTTTATTAAAAGCTCAAGATCTCCTCTGCTGTGTTGTCTCCCCCTACCTAACCACTGTGGTAGTGAAATTCTTGGTCTTCTTCCTCTTGGTCTTTCACTAGGCTGCTCTTCTTCTAGGGGTTCAGTACTCTCTTATGTTATCCACTGCCTATTAGACATCTTCATGTAATATTTCACAGGCATGTCAGACTCTTTCCAAAACTCATCATGTTCCCTTTTAAACCCCTTTTTCTTTCTGCATTCCTTAACTTAGTGGAAGTGACTGGCACCACCATCCATCTGCTGACACAAAAAGCTGGGAGTCATTTTTCACTTCTCTCCTACCCCTGAGATCCCATAAATCATTAAGTCTTTTTGGTTCCATTGCCTAAATATTTCCTCAGTTATGTCCTTTCTTTCCATCCCTAATGCCATTGTCTTGGTCCAGCTCAAAATCGTCTCTTGTCTCAACAGCTACAGTAAAGTTTTAATTGGCCTCCCTACAAATACTCTTGACAAATTATCTTTTAAAAAGTATAATATTTTGCAGACACTTGTCTGCCTGCCTGTGCCTCTCTTTTTAGTAGTTAAATGGTGCTCTTTGGAAAAAGTCCAAAATCCTAAACATAGTTTAAAAGACCTTGAAGGGTCTGACTTGGAGGCTGTACCTGTGGCACCTAAGTAGATGTTGTCAGTACTGACTCTGAGTACCAGTGGTTACAGGGGAAAGCTAACTCTTATGTAAGTTCAGTGTAACGTATAGTCTGTAGCATAGTGATTATCCTTAAATTACTAGCTGCATAAGAATAAATTTTCACAGGTTAGAGGAAAGTTTCGGCTACAGACAACATACAAACCTTCATTTCTAGGAAAAATATATGAAGAAAATTAGTTCACATGCAGAGTACTTGATTTACAAAGGGGTTTTGTATTTAAGTAGTAATGCAAGCATAACATATTTATATTTATACTCTTGTATATGAATTGACAAGCATACTAATTAAATGGTAAGAGCGAGCTGCTGCCCAACTCAAGTGCAGAACATTTTTCAATGAGGTTGAAGCTCTGCATAAACCTCTTTTCAGTCGCATCCTCATGCTTTCTCCCACAGGCAACCACTCTCATTAGTTTTGTGTCACCGTTTCCTACCTTAGTCTTATTTTTCTTTTCTTTGTTTTAAAGATTATTTATTTGAAAGGTAGAATTACAGAGGGAGAAAAGGAGAGACAGAGAAATCTTCCATTTACTGGCTCACCCCCAAATGGCCACAACGACTGGGGCTAGGCCAGGCTGACACTAGGAGCCAGGAGCTTCTTTCAGGTCTCTCATGTGGGTGCAATGGGTGCAGGGGCCCAGGAAGGCATCTTCCGCTGCTTTCCCAGGTGGATTAGCAGGGAGCTGGATTGGAAGTGGAATGGCTGGGACTTGAACTGGTACCCATATGGTATGCCAGATTGCAAGCAGCAGCTTACCCACTGTGCTACAATGCCATCCCCATCCTGTTTGTTTTTCAAAAATACATTAGCTGGTTATATTTTTAAAAGAGCTTTGTTGAGGTATTAAACAGTACATATTTAAAGTATACTATTTTTGATAATATGCATACATTTATAAACCCATCTTAACTATATTTAATCTTCTGGTCCATGAACATCATGTGCCTCTATTAGATCTTGTTTAATCTCATCAGTGTTTTATAGTTTTAGTGGGCTTTATATAAATTATATAATACTATATGAGTTATTCTGTGCTTGTTTCTTTTTTTTTACTTATTATTTTTCTGAAATTCTTTCATTTTCATGCATGTAGCAATACTTTATTCTTTTTTACTGCTTATACCATTTCATTGTGCAAATATACTGTAATCTGTTCTTTTATCAGTGATCACTTAAGTTATTTCTAGTTCTTTTTTCTATTTCAATGAATGCAGCAATGGATATTTCTGTACATTTGAGCCTACCATACCTGAGTAACACTATTCTTTTTTAGAAAGGAATTTATTTATGTATTTGAAATGCAGAGTGAGAGGGAGGGACAGAGGGAAGAGAGGAAGAAGAAGGGAGTGGAGGTGGGGGAAGAGATATCTTCTGTTTACTGGTTCACTCCCCAGATGGGTACAATAGCGAGGGAAGGGCCAGGCCAAAGCCAGGAACCAGGAACTCCATCCTAGTCCCCTAGATGGTTGTAGGGACCCAAGTACTTGGGCCATCTTCTGTGCCTTCCTAGGCATATTAGCAGGAAACTGGTTTGGAAGTGAAGCCAGAGCAATCAGGACTCAAAGCAATGCTCTCATATGAAATGTTGGTGTTGTAAGAGGCGGCTTTACCTGCTGTGCCACTACGCTCACCCCTTGGTAACATTTTTCTAGGGTGTTTATGTGCCTAGGAATAGGCTACTGGGTGATAAAATGTACCGTTTCAGGCCTTACTAGACATTGCCAAATTGTTTTCCAATTTATACCACAGTTGGTTTTATATAAGAATTTGTATTTTTTTCCCATTCTTAGCAGTTGGGGCTGTTAAACTTAAATTTTTGCTAAATTGGTTGGTGTGAAATAGTATCTCTCTGTGGTTTAACATGCATTTTCTGAATCCTAATGAGGTGGATTATATGTTCATGTTTCTTTCTGTAAAATATATTTTCATCTCTTTTGTGCATTTTCCTTTTAGATTGTCTTCTTAATACTTTTTTAGGAGTTTAAAAATATGTATATTTTAGATACTGGATATATATCTTTTTAGTTATATGTGTCCGAGATATCTCCTAAGTCATAGCTTTCTTCTATGTTCTATTTGGTATTTTTTTTTTGAAATTTTATTTATTTTTATTTTATTTTATTTTATTTTTTTTATTTTTTTGACAGGCAGAGTGGACAGTGAGAGAGAGAGACAGAAAGAAAGGTCTTCCTTTGCCGTTGGTTCACCCTCCAATGGCCGCCGCGGCTGGCGCACCGCGCTGATCCGATGGCAGGAGCCAGGAGCCAGGTGCTTTTCCTGGTCTCCCATGGGGTGCAGGGCCCAAGCACCTGGGCCATCCTCCACTGCACTCCCTGGCCACAGCAGAGAGCTGGCCTGGAAGAGGGGCAACCGGGACAGAATCCGGCGCCCCGACCGGGACTAGAACCTGGTGTGCCGGCGCCGCTAGGCGGAGGATTAGCCTAGTGAGCCGCGGCGCCGGCCCTCTATTTGGTATTTTTTGAAGCGCAGAGGCATTGAAGCAACTATGTTATACTGAAGACTACTTAACTTTTAGAAGCGTACTGGACCCAACTTACCAGTAATACCCGTGAGCCTCAAACTCCATAGGAGTCTTAGTTACAGATATATTTTATGATTTTTGTCCCTAAATCTTCATAAATCACTCTGACTTATCTTCTTCAGTCATAATTTTGAGATATTGGGGTGGTGGGGCAAACCACTAGTTTTTTTTTTTTAAAGAACATAAGAACAAGTTTTATAAGCATATTTTGAGGCCGTTTCTTCAATTATTTTTTAGGCTGGACCAGAATATGGTCAAGGAATGAACCCCATTAGCCGCCTGGCTCAAATCCAACAGGCCAAAAAGGAGAAGGAGCCAGATTATGTTTTGCTTTCAGAAAGGGGAATGCCTCGACGTCGGGAATTTGTGATGCAGGTATTTCTAACCTTCATATTAGAATTTTAGAAAACTATTGAAGATTTAGAAATTTTCAAACCAGTGGTTAAGAAATGTATACTTACAATAGTTTTAATGATCTGTGATTACTTTAAAATTTACTGTATTTGGGTGAAATGGTCATTTTTCCATTCAATTATTGTTTATAGCTGTTGTCTATATTCCCACTAAACTTGGTCTTTTTACTTTTTTACTTGTTAAACTTATTATTTGATGAAGTATTAAGCCTTTTTATTGTAATGTAAATTTAAGATATATTTTCTGAACAACTAAAAAAATAGAGAAGGAAGAAGGGTGGGAGGGAGGGGGGAAGAGGGACAAAGGGAGGGAGGAAATATCATTATATTCTTAGAATTGTATCTACAAATCACATTGAATCTGCTAAAAACTAATAAAAAGTTAAAAAAAAAAAAAAAGAAATCCCTATGTTGGAATAGCGATATAGTGGGAAGACAAACTTGGACTGAAAGCAGAAAGTAAAACTGTGTCTACACGTGAAAGCATTCATTCCCTCCAGGCCCACCTCCTATCAACTCTGTGGAAACATTCTAGTGTCAAGGACGTGTTAGAATAGACAAAGTGGGTTTTTGGAGGGTCTGTGAGTTCACACAGGTTATTTACCCCAGAGTTTATCATTTCATACCTATCTCTTGGCTTTTTGTGTTACATTTTCTAGCCACAGCCTTTGTCTGTTAACTACTGAGAATTGGAGACAAATGGAAATACAAGCAAAATTTAGAAGCATGTATATAGTAGATGGAGCAGGGCCAATAGCGTGAGTTGTAGGCTATCAGGAAACTTAGAAAAAGAGAACAAGCTGGGTAGCTAACCATGGTGGGGGATGAAGGACTCAGAATTGCTAAGGGATGTAACTGGTGCATTGTGTCACAAGAATGGTTGTGAGTGTATTGGCAGATGGGTGTGGACTGAGAATGAGGTAGAATGCCTAACATGCTCTCCTCTTCTAATCCTCCTTGTCATTTTCATTTGCCAATTTAAACTGCAGTGCTGAAGAGACCTTTGTTTTAATTTTTTATTATGAAAATGCCAAACATATTCACAGGTAGGGAAAGAATAGTATAATGAACCCCTAGTATGTCCATAACTCAAACCCAATAATTACTGAGGTTTTTGCCACACTTGATCTACCTATTGATTTTTCTATCCTCCCTCTCTCCCTTTTTCTCTTGAGGTACTGCAAAGCTAATTTCTAACTACATGTCATTTCAACCTTACTTACTTAGTGTGTATCTCTTTTAAAAACGTGAGTTTTTCTCACAGTAGATATGATTCATTAGAATCATCTAACATCTAGTCTGTTTTTAAAACCTCCTTATGGTCCTCAAATTGGTTTTAAAAATAATTGGTTTGTCAGATCAACTTTTTGTAGTCCAACCCACCTAAGGATCTCACTTCTCATTGAGTTCAGGTAAAATCAACAGGTATTTCTTAAGTGCTGATCATGTGGCAGACATTTTGGTTTGCACATGTGGTACCTCATATATATATATATATATATATATATATATATATATATATGATGTCTCATATATATAACTTTTCATGCATAGCTAAGTTTTGCCTTTCCTTCTAATTTACAGTCTCCAAATATCTTTATCTCACAATACTCAACACAGTGGTTTGTAAATAATAGAGCCTTTTTTTTAAAAAAGATTTATTTTATTTATTTGAAAGACAGAGTTACAGAGAGAGGTAGAGACAGAGAGAGAGGTCTTCCATCTGCTGGTTCATTCCCCAGTTGGCTGCAACAGCCAGAACTGTGCCGATCCGAAGCCAGGAGCCAGGAGCTTCTTTCAGGTCTCCCACGCGGGTGCAGGGGCCCAAGGACTTGGGCCATCTTCCACTGCTATCCCAGGCCACAGCAGAGAGCTGGATCAGAAGAGTAGCAGCCAGGACTAGAACCGGCGCCCATATGGGATGCCGGTGCTTCAGGCCAGCTCTTTAACCCACTGTGCCACAGTGCCAGCCCCATAATAGAGCTTTAATAAATATTTAATGTATATTTGTTATCTACCTCCAAACTTAGAGCTTGTATTTTTGGCTTTTGTTGGAGATGTCAACTTATGTTGTAATCACAGATAAACTACTGCTGGGAACCCAGATAACAAAAGAGGAAGAATTCTTCTATGGTCAGTAAACATGTCATTGTCTAGATGTTATCTGGACCCAGAACAGCGTTCTAGTATTTTCACTTGGGAGAATGTAGTTACCATTTGCTATCTTACATTCTAACAAGAATTCTAGGAAGTTTTCTTTGAACCTCAAGCTTAAATTTAAAAAAAAATCATGTAAATTTTATACATATATTAGGAATATAAATGGGATTTGGCCTTTAGTTAAACAATCTCTTTTCTATGGAGTATTTTGAGTGCTCCTTTTGAAAGAGGAATTTAGAGTATCTTAGGCCAGCTTCAATGTTATGGGTATTCATAAACATTCTAGTTAAATGGGGACATTTGGCTGTGCTTTTAAATGTTTTCACACTGAATTCATATTGTTTTTTCCCTTTCTGGAAGCCCCAGTGGATTCATTACAGTATTACAGCAACTTTATCAAAGCAAAGGCTTTTGTAAACTACTTAAGCAATGTTATTATTTATTATAATTGAATGTGGAAGTCAAATATCTAGAGATAATATACTCATTTTTATCAATCATCAAAAAAGAAACTTTGTATGCTATAAAACAGATGCAGTGATTTCTGTTGATATACTAGATAAACAAAAAATCTGATGACATTATTTGGGAAGTTAGTTCCAAATCAAATTTCTTAAAGCTTTTCATTTTGTTGGAGAGAAGTATTTTGACTTTTCAGACAGAAAATTATGACTAAATTGTATATCAGCATTCTGTATGATTATTTATCATATAATACTACTTTTCTACCTTTGTTTAAGTTCTCCAGATTGTTTAGAAAATACATCAAATTTCATCGATTTTAAATGTTTTCAGTAAAAGATAATGAATTAAACTTTATTAAATACTATGTCAGAACTTTTTGTGTCTTTTTGTTTGTTTGTTTGTTTATGTTTTTGAGAGATAGAAAGCTTTCATACTCTGATTCACTCCCATAAAAGACTGCAGTGGCTGGGGCTGGGTCACAGCTGGTGTTGAGGCATGGCTCAAGCCAAGAGCCAAAATTTAATCCAGTCAGATGGCTCAGTCACTTGAGCCATCATCCCCTGCTGCCTCCTAGGGCCTTCATTGGCCAGAAGCTGGAGTCAGAAGTCAGAGCTAGAAATTAAACCTTATGTCCTAACCAGTATTTTTTTTCTTATTTAATGAATACAATTTTCATAGGTACAACTTCAGGAATATACTGGCTTTTCCCCCATACCCACCTTCCCACCCCCACTCCCGTCCCACCACCTACTCCCTCTCCCATCCCATTCTTCATTAAAATTCATTTTTAATAAACTTTATATACAGAAGACCAGCTCTATACTAAGTAAAGATTGCCGCACACACACACACACACACACACACACAATGTATATAGTACTGTTTGAGAACAAGTTTTGCAGTTAATTCTCATAGGATGGAGGTCCTACATGGGGAGTAAGTGCACAGTGACTTCTGTTGTTAATTTAACAATTAACACTCTTATTTATGACATCAGTGATCATCCGAGGCTTTTGCCATGAGCTGCCAAGGCTATAGAAGCCTTTTGTGACCACAAACTCCATCAGTATTTAAACAAGGCCATAAGCAAAGTGGAAGTTCTCTCCTCTCTGCAGAGAAAAGTTCATCCTTCTTTGATGGCCCCTTCTTTCCACTGGGGTCTCATTTACAGAGATCCTTTGTGTAGGATATTTTTTGTCATAGTGTCTTGGCTTTCCATGCCTGAAATGCTCTCATGGGCTTTTCAGCTACATCCGAATGCCTTAAGGGCTGATTCTGAGGTCAGAGTCTAACCAGTATCTTAATCACTAGGCCAATGCCTGCCATATGTTTCTTAGTTTTGGGAGAATTGGATTTGATTTATGTGAATGATTTAATTTTTAAGAGAAACTTGTTGGTGTTAAATTTATTGTAGTAAAATAATTAAGCTTCTTTGCAAATAGAAATGACATTTTAATGTAAAGTTCTTATTTTTAATAGTTAAACATTTGTGAGCTTTCTAGGAAGATGATTTATGAAATTTACTTACATATACTTCATTAACAAAGTGATATTTTTAGTAACCATTGTGTGTGTCAGAGAATGAAGGTCATGTAGCAGTGTGGTCTTTTCAGTACTAACAAATTACTTCGGAACAACTACTTACAAACTGTTGAACCATGTAGTTATAAAAGCTTGTGTGAGCAGTGGGTATTTGGCACAGCAGTTAAAATGCCAGTTCCAGTCCTGGCTCCTCCACTTCCAATATAGCTTCTCATTATTGCCTATCCTGGGAAGGTATTAGATGATAGCTCAAGTACTTGGGTCCTTGCTACCCATGTGGGAGACCTGGATTGACTTCTGGGCTCTTGCCTTCTACCTGATCTAGACCTGGCTGTTGGAGGCATTTAGGAAATGAACTAGTAGATGGAAGATCACTCTTTGTCTCTGCATTTCAAATAAAGTGATGGTGGTGTTGGGGACATAATATAACAAAAAAGCTTATGTGAGAAAAGAGGTAAATGAATGGGAAAATTATCCTGGGATTAATTCTAGAAATAAGTCTTGAATGTATCAAGAGTAGATCAGATGGAAATCTGGAATATACAGATAGAAGGTGAATGCAAAGGTAAGAATAGCATTACTGCTTCCAAGCCCAGGAGTAGGAGCCTGGAGCTGAAGGATATCAGTTATAGGTAGATAAATGAGAGTGGTGAAGCAGCAGAAAAATTGGATGAGATTGAGTGAGGTATGTATAGCATGTAAAAACAGATGAAATGTTTTATGCAGTTATATTTGCTCAAGTAATCTTTTGCTCCTGTTTACTTTGGCAAGCCTCAACTGTCAGAGCAGTAGAGG